TTTCTCTTCATCAATATCGCAAGAAGAATCAAGAGATGTGTAAAATTTTGTCAAAAACAATATATGTAAAATCAATTATGGTTTATTTTACAGAATTAGATATAGATGATGGAAGAACCGATAGATCAAAATTTTAGTGCAGCGGTTACGATGACATTAATTACACACGGAAAGTTAACTTATTTTTTGCATTGGAGGCTTTCTTTGTATGTCAGTGCATAGTCACTACACTATGTATGATGTCAATTTGAAAGCCATTTATTTATTTGACATTTGGCATAAATTATTTAGACTAAACATTGGCCCATTGCGGATGCTCTCACTCCTCTATCTCCCTTTCCTATCATTTTCTCTAATATCATAAATACATGTAAACTTTCTCCTCCATTTACTTTACCACCCCAATAAAGCATAAATCAGCCATAATGTAAGAAGTTTTAGTGTGAAGCGTGCTCTTTTGAACTTTGAACCATTGTAAGGGTCTGTTTGCAACAGCTTCTGCTTTTAAAAAAGTGCTTTTTTTAATGAAATGGGGAGAAGTGATTAAATAAAAGTTGATAGTGTTTGAGAAAAAAGTGATTTTGAAAAGTAAAAGTGGGTAGTGTTTGGTAAAATAAGTGCTTTTTGTGTAATAGAAAAAGTAAAAGCACTTTTGACGCGGAAGCCGAGAAAAATAAAAGTTGTAGTGTTTGGGAAAATAAGTGTTTTTTTAAAGCCAAAAGTTGAGAAGTGCTTTTTTAAAAGGAGTTGCAAACCAACCCTAAATGACATATGTTATTGTATGTTATGTTGTAAAAGTTAAAACACTAACACAGTAACGCCAGTATATATTCAAAATTGATTGACACTAATACAAAGGGGAAAATAAGGACCAGCACAGCTCACCACATAAAAATAATGATTTTGATTACATATAATAAATTTCTGAATGAGCAGCAAAAGAACATAACGAATGGTGCAGTTAGATGAGAGTGAGACACGAGTTCCTGCTGATATCCTATACTGTCTATTGAGAAATAGAATTTTAGCTACCGTATATGGAGTACTGTCTATTGAGAAATGGAATGTTGAAATCCAAATCCATTATTAACCTAATTGCAAAGAGACAAAGACAAAAGATGATCAGATGGACAAAGAAAGGGCATGAGAGCAGAGGCAAGATGAGGAGAAGTCATTACAAATGCCTACAGAAAATAAAATTCCATCTTTGATTCAGTGCTTCCCTATTCTAAACTATTAGCAACGGCTCATCTAAATCAACAGTAACTTTTAGAATCCTAAAGTCCTTGGTCTACAGATTCGCAACTGAATTATTAGCAATGGTTCATTTAAATCAACAGTAACTTTTTAACATCCTAGAGTGCTAGGTCTGCAGATTCGCAAATACATAAACTACATCACTTATATGCGTAACGGATAAAATCGAACACTAATCTGATTTCACACATGTATGAGCTTATGTAGAGAAGCAAATATACAGAGATTATAGAGGGGGAGTACCGGGAAGAACAGGTTTCGGAAAAGAAGGGGGATTAAAATGAAGGTGACGGAAGGTGTGGTGGTTGACTGCGTCGGCGACAACGGCAGCGTAAGGGGAGAAAATTGGAGATCTTCGGTAAAAGCATCGGAGCAACGATCTGGTGAGCATCATTTTCTCCATATCTCCTTTCTCGATTTACTTCTTGGGTGGGTGTATTGGGGGAGCTCCCATACAAAATACAATGCTGGTTTATAACATTATTATTTCCCTTTAAAACATTATTATTATTGTTAAAAATATACGAGTAATTATTATTAGTATTATTTTATTATTAAGATCAAACTTTAATAATATTATAAAAAACAGTTATTGTTGTTGTTATTTTTACAAAACACAATGCTTGTTTATAACATTATTTTTATTAGTATTATTCTTGTTTGTCCCTGCATATATTCCCAACAATTCTTAATATAAAAACTTTAATAATAATATAAAAATTATTATCATCATTGTTGTATGATGGGACTACTAATTTATTGGTGTTCATATAATCATATCAATAGTGGTATAAAAAATATAATTAAGCAAAAAGAAAAATTATTTTGATTTTTTCCTTATTTAGATTTGGATTTAATAAAAGAACTTCATAACCACACAATTAAGCAGAAGGCTGAGTGAGGTAAATTCTATCCTACAGCTGGCTATATCTAGGGTATGGTACAACCGATTTTTTTTTTTGTAATATTCAACATCTTTATGCCTTCCAATACATCTCTAATCCCTAATTTCTAAATTGAGCGCAGGTATGGTGCCGATCGTCTTCCTCGCGCGCTTCCAGCTCCAGGTGCTATGGAGACCGGCGATTAGCAGGCGCAACTCTTCTGTAGAAGCAAAATTTTCAGCACGAAGGACTATTCGAATTGCCATCCACGTCTTTAGATTCAAGAGCTCAAGTGCACCCGGTGATTGAAAGAGACGTATTTCTGGATCTAAATAATTGTTCCATAAGATTTTTGGTAAAGCACATGGCTAAACGTGATTCACTTTAATCTCCAGCAACCACAAAATGTCCAAATGGATAGGATTCTCATCCCATATTTCTTCAAGCTTTTGTTAGAACTTAAAATTTTTAGATTAAGATGAAAATTTGTGTAGAATTTGATGAGTATAACGCTTAATAGAAATGAACATATATAAATGAATATTTGTGCACACTACATATTTCCAATGAGCTTTAGATTTTTTTTAAATACTCATTTTGTAAATTATGTATGCTCATTTGTTACAAGGAACAAAGACCACGATAATCAATTGCTTACTTCTGATACTCAATAGAGAAGACTTGGTTCTCAATGAAAATGCATTGATGTTGAATGTAACTTACAATTTTTATATAAAGCTCATTTTGTAAGTTAAGTATGCTCATTTATTATTGATGTCATGCTCATTATATTTTAAAATGTATGCTCATTTTAAAATGAATGCTCATTACATCATTTATTATTGATGTATGCTCATTTTCTAAGTTGCGTATGCTCATTTATTATCGATTTTATGCTCATTATATTTTAACATGTCACACAACGCATATTTCAAAAGTATCATATTATATTAGATTCATATGTTGAAATTCATAGGAATTGATTATAGATATGAAGCAGAGATTACGATGTTCAATATTAGACTCCTAATACTCAATATAACACATCTAGTGCTAATTAAAAGTTCATTAATGCTCATTTAATAGAAAGCGTCATTTTCATCTTAATATAGGAGGTTTGATGCTCAATGAAAATGTCGTGACGTCCAACTAACAAACTTTATTATTTTCATATTTATGCTCATTTTGCAAGTTACATACGTACAATTGGTATTCATGTTATTCTCATTTTTAAAATGTCATAACAATGCATATTTCAAAAGTATCATATTACATTAGATTCACATATTGAAAATTCACATGAATTGATTATAAATATAATTTAATGAGTTTTTATAAAAGAAAAAATAAGAAAAAGAAAGTGAATTACAATAGATGCTCAATAGAATACAGTAGATGCTCATTAAAAGTGTATCCATGCCCATCTAACGAAAATCGCGATTTTCACTGATATTACGAAAATGCCACCTTTTTTAGTTGTGATATCAATTTTCTTGTACTAACACGGTGCTCATTAAAATTGAACTATAACTCATTAACAAGTACACTAATGCTCATTTAGCACAAAACGTGATTTTCACATTAATCACAAAATGTCACCGAATTATTTTGCTATTTTTCCTTGGGCCTGTTACTTTTCCTTGTTGGGCCGGCTGTACCGTGCTCACCGTACAACCGGTGGTATAGTATACGAATCCGCTGAGTGAGGTGGATATTTACATCTAAAAGTGAATAAATCCATTTTTACTGTTATAAAATATACTCCGTAATACATGAAATTCATAACAAAGTACGGCGATATAGCCACTAATTTTTACTCTTTTCTGCTAATATTATTTCGTATATTTAATTGCCAATCCTCACGACCTCACTTCGATCAGAGGGAATTCGTTAGGTGCTTATTTTGCTTATTACTAAATTTACTTGTACAAAAGTTGACATGTTCTCAGCTAATATAAATTACGTAGTAATAATTAATAATACACCAGTGACAAACAATTATAGTTTCAAATATCATATTCATTTTGGGGCACTTTATATTGTACTCCAGGTCATTCCTGGTCTGGTTCATTTATAGAATTTGAAACTCAGGTCAAGCCCTGGGACTGGTCCTGGTCCCGATCAACAAGGCCGGGCCGGGACTCCACAGTGCCGGGTCGGGTCGTCCCGTCCCAGTCCATCCCTAAGTAGAATAGTTCTTTACCCGTTGGACCGACATGGAAGTTAGCACACATGTTTCGTCTCAAATGATTCATCAACCATATATCGAGGGCAAAAGCGCTGTAAACGTACTCCAATATTTAGTGTTGAACACAATAAGAGAAACGCATTAAAGGATCATACGCAACAAAGAAAAAATATGCAGGCAAACAATAGCTCTAAGGTACGGGCTCAGGGAAAGTCAGATTACCATGTGAATGTCAGATTGGTGGGTATGTTAGATTGATGGGAATATATCCAATTGCTTCAATGCCCTTACAATATTTTATCTTAACACAATAAATCTATTATAACCTACATCTAAAGTAAATAAAATTAAAGAAAAAATGAAATATCTTAATAATAAATAAAATCAAACCTAATTGAATTATTTTTAAGTAAACTATATTTAATTGTAAAAAATTGTAGATCCAATTCAAAAAAGAAAAAAACTTTGTTCAATCTAAATATATTTATTATTATTTCAAAAAAATAAATTTAAAAAATGTTCAAGTTATTCATAAAACCTCTTTTCAAATTAAAAAAAATGATCAATTTTGCCATTAAATTTTGAAATCCACTCATTAAAAACTTAAATAATTTATAAGTATTATAAAATATATACCTTAATAAATTTAAATGTTAAGGAAAAAAGAATTATGAAAATAACAAGAATAGACATTCGAATATAATTAAATAAACATACTCCATCTGTCCTACTTAAATGGTTGCCACACAATCTACGATCGACTGACCATAAAATAAATTAATCTCTTTCAATAATAAGATTATTTTTTAGTAAATACAATAGTATAATTTACATATTTAGAAACTACATTAAAAGTTTTATAAATCGCATTATATAAAGAAATTAAATGAAAAGAGATAATTAATTGAGGGTATTTTTGGAAGAAAATTAGACCATCATCGGGAATGTAAGATAACCTAAGACATGAGGGATTATAAGATTCCCTTCCATATTACATTCCCGGGAATGTAACTTTTCCGATTTTTCTCAAACCCGTGAACCAAACATGGGTATCCGACCATCTGACATTCCGTGCATCACATTCCGGCCTTCATGTGAGATTACCCCAAACCAAACATACCCTAAAAGTAGTAACAATAGTAGTACAAATTCTCTCTTGGATTACTTGAATGTCACGATAACATGAGAAGGCAAACTTTTGGGTTTCACAATCTGAAAAGATAACAGTGCAGAGTTTTATAGCTTAGAACTTCAAAAGACAACAGTGTCGAGCATGGTTCCCAGCGTCTGAACAATATTCGAAGACATCAAGTTCGAGACGTGCTCTTCTAGATGCTTCTTGGCGTCTTGCCTTCCTACATTTGCAATGGCCAACTTCTCAGGTGGTAACTCGTCCTCTTCCTGCACTGCTTTATTATATTTGACTGCTAGATTTAGCATTTCCTGCACGCAAGAGAAGGGGGATGATCATCATCAAAAGTATGGGACACATGTTAGGTTTATACTCCGTAACTTTGTTCTATAAGGGTTTTGAAGGTTAACTCAATATTACTGTTCCTATAGAAGGTTGGTTGCACAACAATAGGGAGTGCAACTGGCTTTAAAAAGTGCGACCACGCTCTTTTGCAGGAATTTATAGTATTATCAGGTAAACATGAGCACCTTTATTCAATCGAAAAACATGAAGTGTCTGTTTGGAACCCGGAAATGGTAAGGAAAAGAAAAAGGGATGAAGATACATGGGAAATTTGCAAGGAATGAAAACATCGGGCAAAATAGAACATTTCTTTCAAACTCAATATGTTTATTTTTTTTATTTGTTCTTTTGTTTATTTTATTTCTTCCCGTTAAACAAAGACTAAGATTTCTAGGGATATTTAATTTACAAAAATAGAAACCATACGTAGTATTTCATTTTCCTTTGCATATGCCCAAGTAAAACAGAATACAAGAAAATAGTTCCCCTTGGTCATTTTATTTCTCCTGGCATTCTCTGGGCTCCAAAGATTTCCCTAAAAAAATCTATCTCATACTTCTTTAAGCAAACCAAACTTTACCTGGACTGTTTCCTCATTGGTTTTGGAGTGGGCATCAAATCGCTGGAGGGTCAACCCATCTGTCCATTTCTTCTTGTGAAGATTCAGAAGCATCTTCTCTTCAAGTTCATTCTTTCTGTAATTGATTGCTATGGAGTAGTAGTGCCGGTTAAGACCATGGATCAAGGCCTGCATGACATATCACCCATCATCATATTATTAACATACAAATCACCACATTTTATTCCAGAAAAGCCTTCAAAGTGACAATATGTATTATTGTGTGTATGTATATAAATAGCACTCACTTGGATAGAGGGTTTGTTTAGATGTCCTAAGTTAGATGTCGTTTGACGTGGCTCTTGTCCGAGCATCATTGTTTGGGGATTTATTAACCGGAAAGCATCAATCACCACCTTCCCTTTCACACTCTGTATGGGATCCACCACCACAGCAACTGCTCTTTGATTCAGTGCTTCAAAACTCTGATTATTGTAACATTATTATAGAAAAAGTAAAAAAGCTTACTACCACATATATTCAATGACAAATCCTCAATTGCAAACGACTGGGCAAACTAAATAATTATCCTGACATTTGGTATAATTCACTTAATTATGTATTCTATAACAAAACGATATGTTTTGCTATGATAGTACAAATACAACTCATACACAAAAATATGACTACATTTTCACTATCATTGTGATATAGTCACTGCAGTCTGCAGAACATCACCACGGTCACTTCATTCATTATGAAAATATCACCATGGTCGCTTCATATTATTATCACTTAAAAGGCACACTGTGTTCATTGTATTTAATTTCATCATACATGTCTCTTTAATTACAAAACTATCCCTATTCTGTATCCCTGATCAGAGAAAATAGTAGATATAAAGGCAGGTACCTGCTGAGTATTAATGTCCACACCCGAAAGCCAACAACCGAAACCAGGATGTGAATGATACCAACCGACAACCATCTCTGGCCTGTAAGACCGTAATAAAGATTCAAACCAATTAAGTAGCAAAAGATTACCAAGCAAGAAATTTAACAGCCAATAAGTGACAAGGGAACCACTCCCAGATATAAAAAGAACAATTCCCTCACACTCTCAAAGAGTACTCTGCATGAAAAATATGGTTATCTGGCATCCCAAGAGAGCACAAATACTAATTTCCATTATACAAGGGAGCCAATGAATTACTGCTATCTCTAATCAATATTGTCATCAATACCCGTAAAATGTGAATTCCCATTAAATGACTCCTTGTTCCGAAATGCCCCCCTATCTATATACTTAATTATAGCAACAACTACATACATTGGCTCTCTATTCATAATCAACTGAACAATCCCAATGCCATGGAAAAGAGGGGGAAAACACTTCAAGCACAGACCATATTCTAATACGGAAGAACACATTTTCTATTATGAAAGTTGTGAAAACCATCCCTAGAAATTTATAGCCCCTATGATGAAAGAAATGTTGGGCCTTATAAATGAGAGTAACAAAAGTAAGAAGTATAAGTAGTTTTCAATAATAATACTAAATCAATATTTGACCATCCTTAAATCTTGAAGAAAGAAATGATATAAACAATGCTTCTACTCTACCTACTCAATGCAAATCTCCAGGGCTATTTTCAATGCTACTATTTGAAATCATGTAGGAATTGGGTTGTACATGCGGTTAAAAAAGAAACTATGAGTCCATTTTGGATCAAATTCTATATCACCCGATGGAGATCTTAGAATTGAAAGAGAGTTATAAACTTTAATCAAGATAGATGCAGTATTTCAAAAATCGATGGAAAAAGACAGGACAAACCTGCCAGTTTGCTTGAGCATATCAAGCATATTGGTCTGGAAGACGTGGTCAACGGCTTCGACACTCACTCCAGTCCCACTCTGTGGCATAGCAAACACATCGACCACCCGGACAGTGTACTCATCCACAAATTCACCTAACATTAATCCCATAACTTCCATAGGAACGCCAGCTCTCCCTGTTCAATGGCAACCGAAAACCCTAACTTTTATTGCCAGCCGAAAGAGTACACCACACAATTCAAATGTATCCACTAAATTTCGAGATAGATTGAGAAGGAGCTCAAGGTTACCATGTTTGAGCATCTTAAGAAGAGCGAGGGATGATATGTAGACTTGCTCCGACGAATCGAGAGTAGGAGAATCCGGCGGCGGGTGACCTAAGGCACCTCCGGCTCCCGCAAACATCCGTTGCAGCCTTTCCATCCCGCAGATGCTTCGATTTCTTCGGAAACAAGGTAGTCCTCCGTATAAACGTTTAATTTAAATTCAGCTCCGCCCCTTTATCAGGATCCAATCTCGAAGGGAGGAGGGGGTATTTACTATTTAGCTTAAGTACCAAATTTTGCACTTTTGCCCCACAGTTTATCGCCCTCATATTTGCTAACCTACAGATTTACGTATCACACCAAATTGGTCCTCTTTGGAATTGGGACCCTTGTTCCTTCACTAAAGTTCACTAAAGAGCAGTTCTGTAATTTCTGTTGGTCTTAGGCTTTGTTTGCAACCACTTCTGTTTAAATAAAAGCACTTTTGGGGAAAAAGTGATTAGTAGTAAAAGTTGGTAGTGTTTGGTAAAATAAGTGCTTTTTGTGTAATAGAAAAAGTAAAAAGTAGATTATACACGGAAGCCGAGAAAGTAAAAGTTGGTAGTGTTTGGTAAAATAAGTGCTTTTTTCTTAAAAAAAAGTTAAAAGCACTTTTTTTAATGGGTTGCAAACAGACCCTTAATTAGGGTCGTGCATATCGATTTTCGGTTCGGTTGTTATCGGTTTCGGTTCGGTTCAGTTTGGAACAGGTTGGGAGAATTATTACCATACAAAAATCATACTACTTTTTGGTTTGGTTCGATTCGGTTTAGTTCGGTTTCGTTCGGTTTGAATTTGTTATTTTTTAATAAAATATGAAGGATTTCTAGAATTTCTTTAGTTCGGTTCGGTTTTTGTTCGATTTTTATCGGTTTCGGGTTGGTTCGGTTTATTACGGTTTGGAAGAAAAACTACCAACCTCAAACCAAATTGCATACGGTCCGGTTTCGGTTTAGACATGTTTGGTATGGTTCGGTTAAGCCAAACCGTTATGCTCACCCCTGGTCTTAAATTCTTAATATCGTTCCACATGTTTTGTTTGCTACAATAAAGTTTAACACACTACTTAAAAGAAAAGTTGTAGAAGTAATGGCTAGGTGTAGAAAAAAGAAGGAAATATATTGGATAATTATGAAAGAAATGATAAGAAGTACAAAGTAGAAAATAAGAGTAATTAAATATTTTTTAACTCGAAAACTGTAGCAAAAAGAATATAAGGGGAGTATTAGTTATTGTTTGTTCTTATTTTATTTAGATCAAATGGGATTAGATAAAAAAAGTCTAGTTTAGAAAAATTCAAATAATCAAATAATAAATATCAAACCAGAACATAAATAGTCAGATCAAATCAGATAAAAAAGGTGAAGACATGATTGATTACATTTATTATTATCACTATTGTTGTTGTTGTTGTTGTCGTCGTTATTGTTATTATTATTATTTTTACTCCAGGGGGCGTCTGGGGGAGGGGGTCTGGGGCCCTGGAGTAAACTGGGCTGAAACTCACTCCATTGAGTTTTGAACCCGAGACCTCTCATAAGGAAGAGTGAGTCGGCGACCAGCTGAGCTGGACCGCTTCCTTTATTGTTACTATTGTTATTATTACTATTGTTGTTGTTATTTATTACTTACTAACTTTGTCGCATAATGTAAGATGAATTGGATTTTGTGCGGTTTTTTAAAAAATAAATGATAAAAAACAAAATTGAGTAATTGATGTTAGGCGGTCTCTCCCTTGATTAGGGCTTGACTTTTCTGCCGACTTCGGTGCGGCGGCGAGGGTTTGAAGCAAGGCGGCAACATCTCAGGCAAAGCGGTGAGGTCGTGCAAGCAGAGCGGCAAAATCTTAGGCAAAGCAGTGAGGTTTTGCAAACAAGGCAGCATCTCACGCGAAGCGGCATCGTGGTGCGAAGCTACATGGATAGCGAAGACCAGGTCACGAGCAAGGATGATCGCAATCGGGTCAATGAGGAGGAAGGGCTGGTTGACAGCCTGTCAGTGAACTACAGCGGCATGGGATTTGGTGCAGATTCGGGTGACTTGGGGATTGATGACAAAGAGGAAGGGCCTGCGGTTGTAGGGGACGAGCGACCGGAGGAATTTCTGGTGGTAGGAACGATTCTTACAGACAAAGTGGTTCGTTTTCAGATCTTCGAGGACTTAATGGTAGCATTATGGCGCCCGGGCAAAGGCGTCTCGACAAAGGAGACTGGAGAAAAGAGGTATGTGTTCAAATTCTTTCACTTGGTTGATATGAATCGTGTACTAGACAATGGTCCTTGGCTATTTGATCAGAACTTGTTTGTCTTAAGGGCCATTAAGCTGGGGGATATCCCGATTAAGGTTCCCTTAGACTCGGTTGAGCTCTGGGTACAGGTACATAATGTACCGTATAGTTATGATAATCTTGGAACTGCTAGGAAAATATGGAACTATCTGGGTGAATTTGTCAAGTGGGATGATAATCAGTTTGACGAAAAAATGGGAAGCTTACATGAGGGTTAAGGTTCTCATGAATGTAGGTCAACCATTGAAGGAACTACCATTAGGAAGAGCAAATGGGAGGGATATTGGGTAGATTTCAAATATGAAAAGCTCCCGAGTTTCTGCTTTGTTTGTGGCCTATACTATATGAAAAAGGTGGCCAAGGAGTGACAAAGTCGTTTGGCCCGTGGCTATGGGCGGGAGGCAGGAAGAACACACCATCAACGGGAAGCAAGTGGCTGGTGTCAGAATGAAGCTCCTCAACAGGTGGTAACAACAAGGTTCACATGGATGTGTCAACCCAGGAGAAGGATCATGATGAGGTAGGGGAGAGCAACCAAAGTCGGGTGGTGGTTTCTACCAAACCAGGTGAGACTCAGGTGGGAGGAGGACCAGGAGAGCCAAAGAGAAGACGTACATGGGAGGTGCAGGAGCAGAGTGATGAAGTGGGGGAAACTATGTCTCTTGAAACAACAAAAAACGTGATAGGGGCGGGTGCTGTGATCCAGACCCTCCAGAGCTTTTGAGACTGTGGGCAACTATTCTAGCTGAAAGATACTTTTATTTCGCTTGCACTCTGTTTTTTATTTTTCATGCTTTGGATTTGTACTTTGTTTTGGATGTGCTGCGTTTTTCCAGCAAAAAACATTAGAACTTAGGACAGGAGACGAGGAGTCTAGTCTACAAGTCATTGGCTCAGTTAAGTCCAAAGCGGGATCTGTGAATTATATTGCTTCTACGGAGGTGATTAATTCAAAGTCTGGTTCTAGGGCGGGCGGTAGACAGAAGACTTGTCGCTTTGTAACCTGCTTTTGTTCTGTTAATATAAGTTAAGCTAGTTTCGTTCAGAAAAAAATGATAAAATGAGTGTTTTACAATTCTATCTTTCAAAAAGTAAGAAAGAGAAACATGGATTCACAAAAACTAAATGGTGAAATGGTAGATAAAAGGATAAAGTGTGAAAGTAAAAAGTTTTTTTTTTAAACAAAGTAAAAAGTTAATATTTAAGAAAGTAAAAAGTCAAACGTCTTTCAAAAAAGGAAAGTAAAAAGTTAACGGAGTCTAACTTAAGAAAGTGTTCATATTTTTGGGACAACCTAAAAAGAAAAGTGGAAATATTACTTTTATTAGTATTACAATTGTTATTCAAATTCCTATTGTTGTTTATACTCTCTCTGTCTTGATAGGATTGTTTCATCAGTCTTTTTCGCACCGTCCCGCTATGTAAGATTGTCTCATACCAAATTTGATAAAATTTGTGTACGTTGTACTAAATCATTCTTTTTTTGCTTATTTTATCAATTCAATATTAATCGCATAAACCAGTTGTTATACCGTGGAAGCAGCCCAAGCTGAGGATCGTACTTTCACAGCTAAAACATGTGTGAGCAGTAACAGGCGTGAACATGTTTTTTGTTTCAGTAGCATTGTGGTGTAAGTGTCACTAGTGGAAAAAACACATTTTATAACGGTTAAAAATGACATTTTATAACGGTTCGGGAGCCGACATTGATTCCGTAGTTATAGAAACTCGGACTTATTTTATAACGGGTACGACAACCGTTATAAAATGCTTTCAACATCGGGTGTGGCAGAACCGTTATGGAATGTGTTCTGCACGCGGCATCTTAGTAACGGATATTTCATATGGGTTGCGAAACCTAACCGTTATGGAATATCGAGATCAGTTCAATTTTAACCGTTATTGAATGAGGTTTCACCCTGATATATATCTAATACATATTTATGATTACAAAATGATCATTCAATGTCATTCACAAACAACCACAACATACAAAAATCATACTACGCATATAATTTCAATTTAGTATTAATCATGCTCAGGAAATTTGATCACAATATCATTTTACACCATCAAAATTCAAAAAAGTTGCTAACAAAGCTGCATTTCGGTTTTAAATATGTTAATAATATTTTCTACTAAATGCTAAATACTAGTCACTTCGCAGAAAAACCAAGCCCAACGCTCTCGAATCTCGTTGATATCTTCTTCAGTAAACGGATCTTGAACGTTGAATGTCTACAAGTTGAATAAAAGCAATAAGCGAGTAAATAATAATTAAGTAGAAGAAATAAACACAAAAATACAATGATCTTATATTTAATCACCTCCATCCATGAATCCACAACACTAGCAGAAATAATAGTTGACATGTGCCGCATCACATAGTAACCACATTCGGAACTTCCCCTTTGCATTCGACACTATAAATAATTAAAGGTACCAAGTCAATAATATTACATATTATAAAATGAACAACAACACAGCCTTGATTAAATAAACTGAAACTTAAATCAATAAAATTACAAACTGAAATACCAATAAACTGCAAACTAGAAAACTAATAAAGTGCAAACTGAAAAAAAGAGGAAATATTAAATAAAGTGAAAATTTGAAATGTATTTTTTTTGTACAAGACAAAACAGAATTCATCTTATCCCTTCACTTAATTCAATATAATCAAACATTATAAGCTGCAAACTGAATTAATAAACTTCAAATTGAATTAATAGATTGCACCTTGACTAATAAAATCAACAAACTCGAAGCTAAAAATGTATTTTTTAATATGAACAGATTTCACTATCTACTATATATAATAGATAACACAAAAAATAGACTACACACATCGTATATTGCTTGAAGATAAATAAAAACAGCACTTACCATTGGCTTAACCCATTTAGGTTTGGAATTCCTTTTATTTTTTGTCATTTGATGTGCTTGCATCGCTCTAATGAAAACAAAAACAAGTCATGTTATACGTATGGA